GTCGATGGGTTCCAGATTCCATTGAGTTGACACCACGCAGTTGTTGTCAGCAAAGGTTAGATAAAATATTAGAATTTTTCGTAAAAATTGAATATTGCTTTATGTTTATTACCTTATAAGTTATTAAAATGTGCAAAACATTTGGATCTGTTTTTATTTTGGGTTTTACCCACAGACTGCCATAAAATTTCAAACAGTAAATATTCATCTGCGTACAGACTGCTGTATTGCACTGTACTTCATGTATTTTAGATTTTTGGAAGTGATGGGTATTTTTTTGGCAGGATATTTCTCTTTTAGGTCAGGTAATTTTTCAGTTTCTATAAATTGATACACTAGCAAATATTTTTCAAAGCCCCTTTTTCCAAGTTGGATTTTTAAAGAAGAAATTGAACGAAGAAATATTACAAATTCTTGTAATATATATTTGCACGTTATTTTTCCTGTCCAAGGGTTCCGGAAGCGCGCCATCAGGGGTCAACTGTCAGGCTCTACTCTCAAAAGCTCTGACCACGCACTCTGGTCAAGCAGCAAAGAAACCCGTCACATTCAATAAGTTGGAAACATCTCAGTTATAACATGATCCCGAAGTATTGCCGACACACAGGGGGCATTGACCGAAGAACAATCGACCCATGGATAGACTTGTCCAAGTCTCTCCTGGGACCTTTATCATTGTGCAAGGGCCACGAATCCAAGATCTCTAAAAAAGTATATCTATTTCATTGAAAGTTAAGTATAACAAAGTTAACTTTGTTGTACTTGCTTGAGAATTTTAAACTATTGATCTGTGAAAACGAAGTTTTGACCAAACTGGGTCTGTACACGGAGCGTTGGTCGAGTGTTTGTAGCTCTAAAAGGAAAAAAGCAAAACAAAACAAAACAACAACAACCAACGGTTCCTGGGTTAAACATTTCCAAGAAAATCAGAGATTAAACTTTGCTGAAGTATCGCCAAAAATACTTTTTATCAGAATTTAGCTTCATAGCAAGATACATGCGATATGATGGTTGACAAATTAAAAGCCATAAATCACCGGCGATACTTCTTTGAGTATACCAGCTTCAACTTCAGGTTTGTGTCCAGCACGTAGCCTCGATTCGATTTTTATCGATAGCATGTAGAACTAGAAAGATGTAAGATCACCCAGCGGCCAGACAAACAATTATAACACAAAAAGTCGAGGAAACAAATGTTCAATGATTGGTGATTATCAAGTAATATCCACAGGAATCGGAAAACCCGTTTGCGGTGGTTCACTAAGTTTAGAGGTTTTATTATTTGCTTTTTAACATGTCTGGTTCGATGTCTGATATGGCAGATGTCATCGACCTAACTAAACAGTATACAGATACGACAACCCAGGAACAGGAAATCAGAACCATCACGGTAAATCCAGTGGCGTACTACTACGGAACCCCCCCCCGGCTAAAAGCCTGTTTGCACCTACACCCACTTCAAGTTTAAAGCAGTACAAATCTAATTACCAAACCCATTAGTGCTTTGTCTCGAAGGTGAGAAGGCTAAACCACTAAAGATCAGTCCACATGTGAAACACATTGCACCAGCGTTCAGAGTGCCAAAGTGAACTGTTTTGAAGGAGCGTCGCAGCATCAATGAGGGCGCTTCGCATGGTTACGTTGAAAAAGAGGCTGCACTGGCAGTTAGTCCACGTAATGCACTTTCGCCTCATAGCTTCACTATAATCCTGTGACACAGAAGTCGTTGTTCTGTAAGTATAATCCTGTCAAAGTGGCGACTGCATGCAAAAAGGCCATACCAATTCAACAACACAAAGGAGTCGACAGGTCGCCCCATTAATCACACTGGCATATATGATATTTATATTTAAAGCTGTTCTGTAGCAGGTGTCAGCCCCATTTGTTCCAAACTCATGCGGATAAAACTATGCTCGCATCCAAAGCTACTATCCAAAACTCATGCACATCAAGCTCATAAAGTGAGCCAATGTCTCAACGGCCTATATTTATATATAAAAAATGAGTTTCTTTTCCGTGAGTGGCGGTCAATTGACAGTGAAGGGGGCTCACTAGGGGCCCCAATTGCCATCTGAGTGGCCAGTCCATTTAGCTGTTTATAACATAAATTATTTCTGTGTATCATCATAACAGTCGTCATAATTGGCGTGGCGTGTATCACTGTGTGTGGCCGCCAGCCTGTCTAGACCAGGACCTGTTGGCTACTAGTTCGGTCAGTGACGAAGCTGGTAGCAGAGGGAGCTGGCAAGAATAACTTACATCGTTAAAAAAAAATTGGGAAAGTTTTGAGGATGAATGCGGCACTGGTGTACCTGTGCGTACTTGTTGAATTAAAATGTGTTTGTTTTTTATTCGTCTGTGGTTATTTTTAAGATTGTGAAAAAACAAGACGATTTCACATGATAGAAAAAATCAAAATCACTGCACTTCAACATCAAGTAAACGCATAATGAGGTAACGTTCGTATCCTTCGACCATGATGTGACTACCGCGGCAGCACTCGATTTGACACCGTATGAGCACCAAATGAACAAACTGGGAATACGATGTTGTCACGATCGGCTGACGGCGCAGGATAGAGTTCTCCACCTATCAGCGCCACTCATGCAATAGAGGGCGCTCGACTTAATAATAACACGCTAAACAAGTTTTTCGATTGTCATGGTTCTGGGCTAGTTTCACATAGAAGTTGTGATGAATTATAGATAGTAGTTACACACATAATGGGGCTGAATTCCATACAGGGGTTCAGATTTTCAGGGAACCTTTCCTTAATAGTTCCGCCTTCCTTCCGTTATTGCATTTACGACAAGGTCTATTAATTTTGGAATTTTTGCCCTGCCCGACGTATATTTAACACTGCCAGCAAGCCCACACCGGCAAGCTTGGTAGGCCAGTGGTTAAGAGTCTGCACTAGTAGTAGGAGGAGGGTTCAAGTCCCACCCGAGTACGCTTGTGTTTTTTTTTCACAAGCCTTCGGGGGCACACACTGAGCACAGAGCAGGGCAAAAAAACAAAATTAATTTACATCTCCTCGGCGCAAATCCATTCTTGAATAGTAAGGCCTAATCAGTTTAGCTTGTTAACTAGGCATATATTTTATCCACTCAGTTTGACAAGCTAAACATAAACTGACACTGGTTATCACTGGAATCATTATCCATCCGAAGTGCCAACTGGGGTGCGAAAGACAAACCCAAAATGAAGACACTTCCGTGGAAAGTTTGTCCTGATCAAAAAGAGAGTTTCACATGCCACGCAATGATTTCCGGTGTATTATTATACCTCCCAGGGACTAAGCTGGGTGCCCTAAAGCACCACTTCGATACACCTGAGACAACATGTATGATCTGTATATCCATCAACGCTCGTCTGTTAATGTTGTAAGTAAAGCTAGACAAAAACATTTACCCTAACATTAAGTTTACGCGACGCGCAGTTCAGGGCTTTGCCTTAAAACGCCCTCCGGGATCGAACGAGGATACAAAACTGACGAAATTCAGAGATCATCTTTCACCGTCCGGGTTCAGTGCTAATAGTTTCGAATAACTCATTACTTCACTGAAGTCCTCCACATCGTGGAAAGTCTTAGTAAGTAAAGTGATGATTGATCCAAGTATTTACACCAATTACTCCAGTTGGTTCGCAGTATTGTATTGTTCCAACTGTGGAGTAGTTTATGGTTGATCCGGCGGGTTATGACACAGAACACTTCATTTGCAAATAACTAAGGATTATTTTCTTCATCAATAATTATTGTGCGTTCAGCCCATAAGCTAAAGAGATGCAATAGAAGACATTTCCAGGAAATTCCATCTGATGTTCATCACATTCCTGCCCATAAACATTCGGTACCATAACGAATCCCATCGCCATGAAATGCATTTTATATACGAAGCTTAAATAACGAGTATCACTTTGACCTTTTTACAAGAGGTCACCATATATTCCCTTCGTTTGTAAGGCGAGTTAAACTCAGAGAAAAGAAGTCGTAATTCACTTTGTGATTTACAAGCCTTCTCCAATAGACTCATCGGCATATGCAGGGAACAACACACAAACCAGCAGGCACGAACTAATTAAAGGTATTACCAAATTTCTATCGGATTCAGGACTTGTGCTTATAGAATCAGCTTACATGTACAGTGACTTATTTAAGATGCTTATCTAACAGGTCATTAGTAGAGTTTCTAACAACGAAGACTATAAGGCATCCTAAACAGTTTACCACGCAGAAACAAAAGACGAGAGGTTTGAATTGCCGTATATATATTCTTGGTATACCATTCTCAGAGAGTTAATCTAAGAAACACTGGCTATTAATTATGACCTAGAATAATAAATGAATGAATTACGATAATTGCGTTTGAGAGATGGCCCTTACAAAGAGGTTACAATTTCTCTTATGCTTTCCTTTTCGATATTAACAAGCAAAGAATTGCTTGCTAAAGTCACTATACTCTAGGCTTGAATTCGGTACGAGCAATACGTCAGTTTTACGAGGGCTCTAGGTAGAGTGGCACGTTATATGCATGACGTGATCGATACATCACTGTGGTTGATCTACAAGGTCCACCATTTTCTGTTTTCTGTTCCATTGACAGCGCATCGGAAGGAAATCCCCCAAGGTCCAACCCTCATTAATCGATGTAATCGACTGCCTGTCAATGAATCTTTTCATCAGAGCTGATGTGGGATCAGAAACCAAACCAGCGGGAGGGCATAACTTTCAGTCTGAACACTTTATCATTTGGGGGCGACAAGATAAATCCCATCTCATGTAGAAAGATGACGCCGTACACTGACCTTTGGAACTGGATACAATTTCCAAATGACTGATACTTCATTAGCACATTTTGTCAAGATTGTGTGTTGCAGTTTCCATAATTTTTGTTAATGTAAGCCACTTTGGCGACAGCAAATCCACCGTAAAATGGCGTTCTGAAAGCGCCGCTGAAGTATTTCAGGAGTGGGTGAAATCAAGAGTGGGTGAAGTTAATGTACTCGCGAATAGAATAATGCTTCAGTTTTCATGCAGTTTATTCGTTGATTCAGATTCTGTCCCATACTCCTAGTTCTAATGATACACCAGCGTCAGAACTTACAAGAAAAATATACTCCTTAGGAAGAAACCCAAAATTTCAGTCAGGATTGAAGACCCCTCCACATCTTATCTCGTAATATTGGAGCAACAACCTCACTGCAGAAAAGAAGTGAAAATACGACTCAAATTACCCGCTGAATGAGCGTTGATACTGACACATGTCCATCGATCGCCAGAGTTCAATGACCTCAGCCTATCGAATTCATGAATTACTGAAATCAAATCTATTTTTTTGGAATCGCACACGTTGGGCTGTCTGTTCTTTCTAGTGTGCGGTAAAATGTTACGCAAGGCAGTAGTAACAAGGCAAATATTGACCACTGCATCATAGGAATATGCACGCAAGTAATCGCATTAATCACATAATTCCACAGTTTGATCCCCAGGCCTCCAAAAGAATCAAATTCTAGAAGGGAACCTGCAGTCAGTTTCCTCTAAGATCCCCTTGCTTGCAAATACCCTCAGTTCTCCAAAGCATGCAAATTTACCCATCTTACCCCTGAAATCAACGTTACACTGACCCAGAAATGAGAGTAATTGCCGGCGGAGCCTTTTCTTTGCCCGTATATTAAAAATGGAAAAAAAATCAGACGGCGTACCGTTAAGGTAAACAAGACACACAAAATCTCAATCAGTAGGCGGGAAATTGCCCGATAGAATTCCTGATTTGTTTTACAGGCGCACTAAATATCTTGGTGAGGTTAAACGAATACCAGGTTCTCACGCATGTGTTTCGCTGGAGAATTAATTTGGCTTGCATGAGGTTTGACGGATATTAAACTCGATATAAACAGCAATTTATCATGCATACGTGAGGAGAGACAGACGTACCAAAATTAAGTCTCTGGTACATTTTCTGGCAAAGGGGAAGTAGCGAGAATCATCAAATAAATGTTGGAAAATTTATGACTTCTTTTTCTTAAAAAGGAAACTGTTTATTTATTGCGGGGTCGGCTAATAATGCTTTTGATGTTTGAAACTAAGTTTCTCTGGTTTGGAAACTCGTTTTAGAATATTACTCATTATGAACAATTTCGGAAATACATGGGTAAATTCATCATTAAGAGGTTGAGAGTTTGCCCTTCAGTACCGGTAGGCCTACTTCTAACAGAACCGTCACCAATCGGCCTTATTCACAAGTCGGCCACATAACTTTGATTTATGCACCAGAGAATAAAAAGGAAAGCACTGAAATAAACGCTATTACTGTAGAAATTTATGTCATTTATGCGGATGAAGAATTTTTAATTTGTAATTAATTAGATCTAGATGTTTCAAGCAACAATTTAAAAAATTGAAAGCGAGGCTTCGAGCCCAAGATAGTCTGTACTGCTTTATTATTTTGACAGATTGCATTGAACATAATACATACAGGGAACACAACCAAAATGGCTTAACCATGAGTATGGTCTGTTTGGCTTCAGCTCTTGTTTTACTGTGCATACCCGCGTCTAACAAAGGGAGGGATTTTTATTATGCAAATAATAGGCCTATTATAATTTTAAGTTAAAGCGCAGTGCCCTCGATGGAGGGCGTAGAGTAACGAGAGGGCGCTTGTCATTGAAGCGGAAGAGATCTTTCCAAAACACACATACGCTGAAGATGGCCAGTGATGGCACAATTAGCTGTTTAAGCTCTGTATACCACATACATGTGTTTATATATCTGTGGTGTATACTATTGTTGAAACGGTTTGCCTACTTCAAAAAGTCGTTGCGATCAGTTTACCTATCATGTGAGCCTATGGGGCCTAATATTTGAGCATAGTACACACATCATGTGCCATATTATGGGCCAGCAATCTGGTCAACAGTGCACGGAAATGGGACCATATTCTGGTAAAAATTTACTAGTTTTGAAATTTTCAGTGGCCGTATTTCAGCATGGGGGGATGTTATAAGTTGGTTTTTTTGATGCTCAGTATTGTGGAAGTGGATAGGTTTGAACTTGGCTCTGCTCATTTCGTCTTCCACGAGGCGTCGTCTGACAACCCTTTGAAAAGAGGCTCCATCAACGTCTCTCTCGCCGTACGCGAGATCTCGTCCCAGATGAGAGTCTTGACGTCAGTGCAGTATTCCACACGTGGATCAATGGGGTCAAGTGCGATTGGTCCAGCATTATCATGTGATCTTCAACGTTAAACAAATAGGAATCATGATAAAGGAAACATTATTATGACAGAGACAATTATTTCCATAATAATGGGTTGATTATTTTATGATATTTTTTGTTTACCTTGCAAGAATTTCCCGCTGTTTTGCCTCTGCTATCTTTCTTTGGTATGCTAAGCTACTGCTGTCCTCCCACATAATGCTGATGTTTTTCCATTCGCTCAGGCAACTTAAGATACACTTGAGGGCCACAGTGAGGTCAAACGTCTTGGGATTTCCCGCGATTTCCCAGCAGTGGATCACTAACAGCTCATAGAACCGCGTTTCTGGTTTGTCACTGCGGAGACGAAGGCGATACTTCCGCCAGTGTTTGACCAATAAGATGGTGTCTTTCACGGGAGCCGGTAGGCTTTGAATCAGGCTCAATCTTAGATCGCTCAGGGTTGGTTGGTAAGGGGACTTGTCCTCATCTAACACAAACTGGCGGTACATGGTTTCTTTGTTTGCTGTAAATGGAAGTAACACGTGAAAGAAAAGAAAAAAACACATAAATTGGCAATAATTCAGGAATTTCAGAGTACCACTTCCTGTGCCAAAAAAGAAGGAAAAAAGGACAACTGAGGTGCAAAAAAACCCAAAAATATAATAGCAAACGAGGACTATGCGAGCATATCCCAGATATGCTGTCGTGCGACATTCGGTGAAGTACAAAATTATAAGCAATTCAAAAACTAAGATGTAATCAACTCAGAAATTTCTGTAAGCTTACATTTTTTTGGACTTGATCCAATTAAATCAACAGCGGGGACAATGGTCCCTTCCAGCCACTCCTCCCCTGCCATGACCCTGACTTGTATCACCTGCATCCCGTCTGCATCTGACACGCAGTTTGGCTCGATGAGCATTACCACGTGCAGCACGCCTTCAGAGCTTAACAGGTCGCGTGTCTCGGTCAAGACGCCCTCTAGACGCCTCTGGTAATCGTCAATGCTACGAAAGTCAGAGAGGAAAAGGAAAAGGTGAAACTCCGCGTCCTCGTTGAGGGCAGTAGTACCTCCGGCAAGATCGCCGCCCTGTGGGTCAATAAACAACACCAACTTTATGTACAACACTTCACTCAAATTAAATGTGAGAATCCTCTTCGACTGGTCCTTTTTAACCCAACTGAAAAGTGCTTTAAACAACAATTTTCTGTCAAGTGAGGGCACTGTTGTACTATCGGAGGAACACTGCAGTGCATACATCTCTACTTTATTTCCTTTACGGCAATGCGCTCTCCCAGATTAATTCGAGCACCTTTTACTTATTTTGTCCTTTACGAGTAAAAGTTTTCAAAGTCCAAGCTTCTTTCTACAGCCATGAAATTCCTGCCACGTAATGCATCAATAGGCAGCACGTGGCCGGTAACACTCATGACGTAATGCTTTGTTTACATGCGCACTTTCGCACAGAGCTACGCGCCCATAGTCCCTTCCTGTCCTGGTTCCTATACGAAAACCAGGCCCCTAACTAGAGAGGTGCAGGGGGTGCGTTCGCACCCCAACGTGACTCAAAGGCCCACTTTTGAGGCAAGAAAAATTTTTGAGCTGTAGTAGAGCATTTTGCAAAAAAACAAAATGCCGGGCGCTTCGGTATTTTTCACCTCGGTCAATCCCCTCTTCGGGAGTTTACTTGTAACCCCCTATAGCAACTGATACGACTTCCTGAATCCTGCTGTTTTTCAAAATAAAAAGCAAAAGATCTATTCTTGGTCCGCTTTGTTGAGGATTCTCACCCTCTCCCCACGAAAAATCCTAGTTAAGGGCCTGAAAGCGCGCATGTAAACAAAGATGTTATTGGTAGATGGGTCTATATAAAAATACTCACCACGACATATCTAGATATGGAAAACGAAGCTTGCGTTTGGATGTATGCCACTATGTTGTGCAGCGCGCCCCGGAGTTCAGCTAAGAAACTGTCCGTCTGACGTAAGTGCGAAGAAACGAATGCTTCCAGGTCGCCAGGGCGCAGTTGCCATGGTGATTTCTCCTCGGCCATGAAAAAGCCTTTAAGTAAAGTGTGGCAGAGAGAGTTCCAGTCGTAGATACTGGCTATTTTTCGTATTCTTAAACTTAGTCCAATCAATTCTGCAAAAGTGGGGAGGAGTGGTAAAGATACATAAATGGAAATCTCAACAAAGTGAATCGTAAATCGGTTTCAGTAACAATCTGACTTCTAAAAACTTGTATAAATCTCAAAGTATTCAAAAATCCAAGGTGAATTTACACTGTCTAATAGATCAGACTTTAACAATGAAAAATCTCGAAGGCCACGCATAACACACCCCACAACTGGGATAAATGGATCAGATAAGTCACTGTTAGATCAACAGCAAACAAACATGGAAAACAAAACAAAACTAATAAAAACACAACAAAACAAAAACGAGAGAAGTCTGTGTGAATCTCCCTTCCTGCATCATCATGTTCATGTCGCGTAGAGCCTTATGACAGTGGGGTGATCCTACACAAAGATAGCTCCAACCAGCAGGATACTATACTAACGAGCCTCCACATGCCCTCTTATGACCCATCTACCGGAGCTCATCAGTGGCGCATTAGGTTTTCAGCCCAGGTGTGACAGGATTTTTCTGAAAACGACTGTCCATTTCTTATCCGTTTCTGTAAGTGTGGACCCTTATTATTTAACAAATACATAACCACATGTCTCCAGGTGGTGTGCCTTCCCCGCTGGATACGTCACTGAAGCTAATAGTATTTCTCATTAGGCCTACCACAAAACTGACAAAATAATTGCATTCAGCCTTAGTAAGCAGAGGACTCAGCCAAATCATCTCTGATTTCAAAAAGAATCTGGTTTAACAGCAACACCCATCAAACAGCATATTATGTAAGTCACTAACAGGATATGAAATGACAAATCAACGAATTGAAGACACCTGCTCCCTGGAAAGATGAAGTTTTCTTCAACTCTTGTCTTATCCATTAGCGGAAGACAATTAGCTTTTCTACCTAACAAGATTAAGAAACTGCAGAGGTTTGTACAGGTGTTAGAGGTATACAAGATAATTTTGGCGTAATTAGAGGAATTGAGATTGCTCTATACGTAAAATTCTGGCGAGTTTGATCCTTCTCACTTTTTGAACTGCTTACAAGGTAAAATAGCTGGTAATAATCTCAGTGCAAGTTGCAAGACTGAAAATCCAGGTGATTCAACCTATTAACATCTTATACTAATAAATTTCGCCGATTCAAAACATTCCCTCCAAAGCTACAAAAATGCCCTTAGGACCTTTTGTAGCTTCTTTTCAAAATTCTAAATATGAACACACTAGCATAGGACAATGTATTTCTACCTACTTCAACTCTGGCACGTTAACCTCGAGTGTAACCTTGGGTAATTAATCAAGATAATGATAAAAGTCTCTACGAATTTGACGTGATATGACTGGTGTCATTAGGACAGGTTGGCATGTAGATTAATACGTATATAGACAGTAAACGATACGGGATTTAAAAACATAATTATCAGTGATATCTACGCCTTCGTCCCAATAGCGTCCCAAGATCAAACATGCACATTTTTGTTAATCACTGTCAGAATTTCGAAAAGTCTGTTTTTCAGTCTTCTGTTCTAGGACAAAATGAGCTAATTTCAGGAACAAGTAGGGCTACTGCTCTATTGTATTTCGCTAATGAATGCCTGCAAGATCCTATTCACAAACATTCCAATCGAACGGTCCTTACCTTTCTTTGAAACGATGCCTAATTGCACAGAGAATACAAACTGGAACAATGGAAAATGTGATTCCTCAACTGGCTATGGGAATATACAGTAGGCCCACGCACTTGGAACTACTTGCACATGATTTAGCCCTTTCAAGCATAGCTCACGACTGTTGCCCATAACATCTGCTTGCAGGAGAGCTCTCAGGCAACGTCTGTACAAAAGCTAGAAGTACACACCTGTATATATAAGCTGATGTAAATGTTGCACAACGCTCGTTGGCCACTGATCTTTAGCAAAACATACATATAAAATTCGCAAACGCTTCTTTCGTTCAAGAGCTTAATATATCTCTGTAAAACTTAATCTTTCCTCAACTTTGCTCATCACGTGTTCGCGAAGTGCCTGCACGCATTAGTTATTACAGGCACCATTAACTTATTAAGGTCGTCCCCTGCAGTATGCGGTGTAATTTCTTCGACGTGAGCGGGAAAGCAGGTGAGCATATTGGTACGAACAAAATAAAACACTCCATCTCACTTGAGTATCGAATGTAAACAGGGCATTGTGAAGGAGGCACTTCAAATACAAGGGTCCAATTCGTCAGGTGTACATAGCTTAACATGAGGCTATAACAAAACTATCGAAAGTAAAATCAACATTTAAGCAAAAGTCTACACAATACGGCTATGCTTGCTTCATTGCTGATTTTGAAACGCGTATAATTATGTAACATTATTGTCATAATTATTTAAAAGGCTGAATAATTAAGCCACATGGAAAGCTCAAAATATTACTTAGCTATTTGACACTAGAACTGGTGCCAACCTAGATGCAACTGTCTACAAAGTGTAGCTGTCTAACCAAAATGATAATGACTGTTTGTAAACAAAGAAAAGCCAAACGGCTGTGACTTATGTCCATTAACTCCATGATTGAACTTTCAGCATTTTTCTTCTCTTAGTGCGCTATGTATGTTCACATCTCTCGTTGGTCACGTCAACTAGATGAACGTCTTGCCAGGCACGTAGGTGTTCAATGCAAAATACTGCAGGGCTGGATACAAAACAAAGCCTTTATACATACACTGAAATAACTTATGCAATAACGGTTGGAATTTGATGCAGGAAAGACTTGCCCCAGCATGGTTGCCGTCGTTAAACAGTCGTTGTTGCGGAAGGACTACCTAATCTTTCTATGCCGTACCCATCAAAGGTTTCTATAACCAATATGACTTTTGCGGCCACAAAATTAAAAGTATTTTTTCATTGTGCTTGGTGACAGCAAACTACGCAGAATCATGCAGGGAATCACGGGACCCTCAACCAATCAGAATTTGTTTATTTCCGAATGGTCAACGTTAGCAAAATACCTGCATTTGGTTGGAACATCCGTTTTAAGTAAATTTGATTGGCCAATGAGCTGAGCTGATGGGACGAGTAGTTCAACCCGTATGCATGTATAAGACAACATTTTCGGAGATGGTGGTAAAGTAAGAAGCTTGGCTCGTAAATGCAATTGCACTCATAAGCTCCAGCAATGGCAAGCACTGAAGCTTCATCTGACTCTGATCTGCCTCCTTTGCCTGATATTAACAATATCAGTAAAGAATTGGCCATCTGTAGAGTGTTTCTCAATACTTTCATCCTTATATCTGGTTTTTTGGGTAATTCCTTAATCCTTCTGGTTTACAAAAGCAAAATGCGTAAGAACAGTACCCAAATTCTCATTATGGGTCTTGCTGGTGTCGACTTGACGGTTTGCTTATGTCGGATCCGGAATATCTTCAAGTTCTCATACATGGCTCTTGATAGAGAATCTCCACTTATCACGGAGGTTTTTGCAGTGCCTGGGAGATTCGCTTTGGGGATGTCCGGCGTTTTAACTGGAATCATTGCGTTTGACCGCTACGACAGCGTGTGTAGGCCACACCGGAGGCTCTTCAACAGACGACGGGCCAAAATTGCTTTGTTGGGATCCTTTGCTACTTCTGTTTTTCTGGAGATGCCCAACTTCATCGGCACGATCCTTCAATCTCCGAACTGGAGGAAAACCTCCCACAGTATTCATATAACTGAGTATTTGATTGTTCTGTTCTTGACGATCGTTTGCTATGGAAATGTGTATGCGACCACTCGAAGGCGAGCTAAAATTCGTGCTGAATTTCTGCCCCCCAAAAATCCAGTCATACCCACTATTAGCTACAAACTCAACATGCAACCAGATAAGACTGACGCTTCTGCGATAAAAACTGAATTTGCGTCAACTTACAAGGAATCATCAACACCAACACCGCATGCATCAAAACCATCAACCATGTTTACTACGCTCAAATCGTCATCCTCAAAGTCCCATCAGACATTCAATGCGCACAAATCAGCAGTTGAAAAATCAACTCCAAAGGAATTGCCTTTACAAAATCCCCCGTCCGCCGGCGTCGATACCCAAGAGCAAAGATGGGCCTACAGGAGAGAAGTACAAATGCACATTCGGCTAGGGAAGCCTCACCAAACTAACCCGCCCTTAATGAGGGATTTCATGCAGAGAAGGGTAACCCGAATGCTGTTCATAACTGGCGTGGTGTTCTTGTTAGCCTGGCTACCCTACTGGATCTTCATCGCTGCGGATTTGTTTGCGCTTAACGGAGGGACACTTGGAGAGGGTGTACTCGCTAAGCTGTTCAGTGTGGCCATATCAGTCCCCTTCAACAGCATCGTTAACCCGCTTATCTATGGTGTAGCCAATCGCCATTTTCGTAAGGAATGCGCGGTCTTTTTCAGAAGAGTTTGTTGAGAGACAAGCCATGACTTAATGACTTTTGGTGGGGTGAATATTATTATGAACGTCCCATCCCACTGGTGTTTACTCCGTTCTCACTATACCCTCACTTTTTGTTGACAATAGAGCCTGAAAGTAAAAGGTCACGCAGCGAGCTTCCGGAACCTTCGCGCGGTCCTCCTGTAGGGATTTTACATTGGGCCGTCCTATCACGTTCGGTAATTTTTGGAAGAATAATTCCTAAGTGGAACCACCCCATGAAACACTCATGTTGGAATTTTACTTTTGTCTTCCTCAAGTAATATTTAGGAAAAGTCACATGGAGATAGGTAAAAACCGAATTTTCTTAAAGACCTTTCACTTTCGGCGATATCGTACCTAGGTCTCCATGTTCATGCACGTTTGTTTTCATTCGCTGTGCTTTCTTGAAAGCCTTTCTGCCTGTGCTTACGTGAAAACGAGACTGTACAAAGTTGCAAAGATTTACCTACCTGCAATCGATGGGTTCTGGATTCCGTTGAGTTGGCACCACGCAGTTGTTAGCAACGGTTAGATAAAAGATCAGAATCTTTCGTAACTGAAGTATTGTTGCTTTAAGTTTATGACTTATAAATCATAGGACTGTGTAAAATATTTTAATCTGTTTTTTTTTATTTCGGCTTTTACCGACGGACTACTATAAAATTTCAAACCGTATATGTCAATCTGGGTACGAGACTGCGTTATTGAAATATTCTTCATGTATTTCAGATTTTCGGGAGTGTTGAGTCAGTTTTGGCAGGATATTTCTTTTTTAGGTCAGGTGATTTTTCAGTTTGTATAAATTGATATACTAGCAAATATTTTTCAAAGCCTCTTTTCCGAGTTGGATTTTTAAGAAGTAACTGAACGAAAAAATATTACAAATTCTAAAATCTTTGCACGTTATTTTTCCTTTCCAATCGTTCCGGAAGCGCGCCACCAGGGGTCAATGTTCAGGCTCTATTATGAGGTGTAGAGTGTGAGGCTAGTCAGGCTCTCAATGTGACACTGTTCCTCTTGTTTCGTTTACTGGTCCAGACTGCACCTTATATGTCACAAATTTATGCTTTAAGTCAAATAAGTCTGCTGTATTTACACGGAAATTTTCACGGAGATCGCATGCATGTACAAGTAGTGCACTTGTATCACTTGCAGGTAAAGATGCAAAATAAATTCAGTCTGTTTGACAGTGGCGTAACTAGAGTACATTTTGCAGGGGGCACTTAGGAGGCCCTTTATTTCTGTATGAAGGGAACATCCAATGGGTTCGATTCAAGTTAAAACAATGACGAAACCGGATACAACGAGGTTTTTTCTTCTCTAATTTCTGAGCGGGGCGGGTGTAAAGACCCCCCCCCCATTTACGCCACTTCTTTTTGAGTATATCTGCACTCACCTCAGCCTGTCACATGACTAAAAAGTGCTTAGCTTTCTGCAATAGGTTGGGGTTGGCGTTGAGCGTGCCTGACGACTTCCGCAAGGCCGTCCTAATTTCCCATGCCTGTCGAATCACTCCACCCGACCATCGATTTGGCCAATATAGTGTCTGACTCCTGCAGTGAAAATGACACAGCATTCAGAAATCCCTGATGAACACCCCAGAATGTGCTGGACAGCGCTACGGTGCCTCCTCTTCATGTTTAGTCGCATGAGGCCGGTTTCCTTTCGCACTTAACGGAGCTGTATATAGAGACTGTTGGGCCAACTCCAGATTTTTACAGCAAAATGGCTGTTTACTACGTGGGCAGCACGACATGCAGCTATTGTGCGCTAATCATCCATGTGCACTGACGCATAATCTACCATTTTGGTTCCAACAATTTGAGACACTTATGTCGCTCAACTCTCTCTATAAATAGCTCTTGCACTTGTAGCAAAGGAACAGTAATTTGCTTAAAAAGTGTCACCCACCTCCCAAAAAACTGATTAAAAGTTACAAATAGTCAGCACAAGTTTCACTTGATGTGCTTCTTGAATATATTCAATACTGAGTAGTATTTTTTCGGGTTTTTGTTTTCAAAGTTAAGATATTTAGCCTACGCCCGTTTTTCTGCGGTGCTTTATTTGCTATTCTGCAACCCAAGTCTTAACGCGTCCCTGAAAGACCTTGCTAACAAACGTTATTAAACAGAGCTGTAATTGTATAATTATAAATGTACAATGTACTTGTATAGTATATACTTGCAACGTTGTTGTCCAACAAAGGATAAAAATAGATACCCTGTGCACTTGAATAAGTTAACAATGATAATGTGTCTGTGAATGATTTTGTCAGTGTCCTTGGATCAATCATAGGTCAATACGTGTAGCACAATTCTCATTTTTGAAGGTCAAAACCCTTACCAGACAGCTGAGCCGTCATTTAAGCTCCATTTCGAATAATGTCCTGTGATTTAGCATGTTCAAAATAATTTTTATATGTTTTTATTTTATTACACTTTGCCACTGCCTATTAAACCGAAAAAAAATATATACATTAAAAACATATACATAAAACAATTGACATGGCACAACAACAAACAGATGACGGCCATAAAAAAGAATACGCTTAAAAAGCCAGTGGATGGCAAGATGGAACAGGTGGCCAGCACCTCTACAGAGCCATCCTACCACATGACGACACGCCCCCCCCCCATATATGAGGTGGAAAAGACAGGTAGAAAATGAACGAAGAACGTAAGAATAACCCTACAGTATCGAAAAAAAAGTAACAGAATAGTGATCTCTTGAAAGTGAAAAAATAATTTCATAGGGATATCGATCCTATTCTCGGGATTTTGTCATACTGTAATCAATTAACTCATGATGTCAACATTCTGTTCATCAGAATGTCAAGCGTTATAAATCCTTCAGTGTGTCGTCGCACCGTGGATATTCATCTCATGTTGTTGACATCAAACCTTCGGGTTGGCAGCGAAACAGTAAAAAGACTTCTCAACATCGGAGATATTCTTTCCTGAAAGATCATCGTATTGTAAAATTAATCAGGAAAGCACTCCAGGGCACCGTAGTTGATAATGCGGTAGACCTACGCGGAAAACTCGAGGCGCCATGGTACGACATATTCATGTGTGAACGTCTGGTTGGACCACATTTTCCATTGAAGAATCATGTATACATGTAAGACGCAAGAGACGGCACCCCAACAAGAGACTTTGCGGTGAACGTTATTAGGTTGACCTTTAACATTTGTGTGTCATACATGAGCATTAATTTATGCACTTCCCGCGGCGAACTGTGTACATGTACGTCCAAGCCAAAGGATTCCGACTATTTTATAGACTGGCTACAGTTCCCTACATAGGCCTAGTTACCATACGTCCTTCGAGCACCGAATGTAATGAGTAAATTAGCCTACAAAATGCCCTATAATGTAACAAGTAAACATATGCCAAAGAAATATTTTTGTTTTTTTCTTCTTCACAAGTGGAACACAAAGTTGGTATTGCTCATACACGTGAACAATCGGTGACTGTGAATTTATGCCAAAAGACGTGATCACAAACGTTTCGAGAGAAACTGAATAAGTCTATTACCATGCCATAATGAACAACCACGGCGTGCATGACGCGTAAGATGGCCACACTACCAATGACCTCACTAGCACACATTTTTAATGTTCAAAGTTCAAACAAAGGTTCCTTTACCTTTATCAATTGCGAGCAAGCTACCGATCCATAATTTGTTCATTATTGGGACAGGGTCTAGTCAAACTATTTCCAAGTTCCAGTGGCTGCCATAGTCCTTTGACTAGAATGGGAAGAGTCCCCCTCCCCCGTTTTCGAAACTTTCTAACATTTTAGTTTCATTTACTTTTTTATTCTTTATCTTTTTTATTGTTCATTGTATTTTTCACTTGCGCCCACGTCTCGAAGCCTATTTACACGTACATAACATGGATTGCAATTTCATAATTGTTTGCTTGAATATACGCTGTGAAAGTGAAACAGTTCTACGAAGTTGTATTAGGGACATGGCGAAAAAAAATCTCTCCACCTTGAGCTATGTCGTACGTAGGACTTATATGTTGCACGTACGGCTCCTATGTCGTACGTACGGCTTCTATATCGTACGTACGACTTGTATGCCGTACTTATGAGTTATATCTCGTACGTACAACGCATAAATCGTAGGTCTACGTACGAGTTAGCTCAAGGGGGAGAGAATTTTTTCGCCTTGTCCATTATACCACTTCATAGCTTCGTATAAACCAGACAGCGAATGAGGGGAAGTATGTACGTGTATAGCTCTACTGTGACGTCACAGTTCCTTCATATTGCCAAGTGCACCAGTAACCCACGGCCCACTGTGACCCACTTGAAAGCGCATACTACGTACAGTGTGTACCAGAGGTCATTATGATCAAGTGTTCGTGTCCAACATGAATAAATTTTCCACACAAGCGTAGGCCTATTTGTGCTCTGGAACATGAATAGGGCGATACGAGTGACTGTTTACTGTACAGACAACGCGGTGCAGATGCTGTATAGACTCCGAACCTGGTGCAACCTGTCGGCGATAAGGTGCTTATTCGAGTCGGTCTTCGGCACATTTTATCTTTCATTTCGAGGTTGTCTGATTTAGGGATTACTCTCTCTGCCAAGCTGAACATCGACAACATGGAGTCCACTCTGCAATACATCTTTGAGCAAATGCTCAACCGCAACGTGGCAGTGTTACTAGCCATGTCACTCTTCGTCGCTTACAGCATGTGGAAGAGCAAAGTGAATCTTCCGCCCGGACCATGGGGGTTGCCATATTTCGGCCTGGTGCCGTATTTCATCCTGATGGACTTGATCTACGGGCTGCAGCGACACGAGGCCCTGGCTAGAGTGGCTGTCAAGTACGGCAAGGTGTTCAGCTTCAAGGCGTTTGGACGAGTGGTAATCGTCTTGAACGATGCCGAGGCGATCAAGGAGGCTTACCAGCGAAAGGAGATGAACGACCGACCAAGAATGAATATAAAAAACCATTCCCTCGGCAAAGGTATATATGCAAAAAGGTGTCATGAAATTAATTCCGTTCCGTATATCTGGTAGTACATTATAGTGTCTTTGACTGTGTATTATCTCAACACCACATGGCGTTCATTCGACACTAACCAGAAGCTGATTTGGATTTTTGAGTCACAGCTGGCCAAGAGGTGGGAATCTGGACCTTCAGTTTTGAGCACGTTTAACTCATTGTATGCTGAGACCTCTCCGTGAACAGTTTCCACGTCTCAAAACAAGTTCCATTTTGATCATGAAAATGAGCACGATTTCATCAGGCAAAACGAAAACATGTACATTAGTGATCAGTATTTCTTTTCATAGTTCAATCGGCATAATTTGATTTCTTCATATCACGGCAGCGGTCCGTGTTTTATTGCCTTTCCTGCTTTAATCAGTTCAAAACACTTCATCTGGAGTAGGTCTGTGTAGCGCCAAAAATAAAGATTAAAAAAAAATGTAGAAATATTTTACTAAACTACTGGAAACTGAACCTCTGCTTTTCAACTAAAATTATTTTCAGTTTTTATTTTGCTATTTTTTCTGTATTCTGGGGCCTTTGGGGGGTTCATGCTTAGCCAAATTTGTATATTCATGAGAAAGCTGTATGTAATCCAATGGCACCGAACCTAAATGTTGAATGAATTTTGACACAATTGCTCTATTGTTTATACTTTGCTGTCGAAAATTTCCATTTCCTTTAGAAAGTTAATGTTTAATAAGTTAATGGCTATTATGCCAACGAGCAACCTTTTGTCAAAAAAGTTTCCAAAGAGCAAATTTAAGGTTCAAAATTTGAAAATGAAAAAATGAAAACTGAAGAGTGTCTTCCCAGATTTACATCGCACTAACAGCGCCCCCATTTGTCTTGAAAAGCTTGAATAATTTTGAATGTTTAAAAGTAAACTTTACATTTCACTTAACTCCATATATATTTCAAACAGCTTTCATAAATTGAAGAGTAGTTTAAACATGCACAAAGAGTAATTCGAAGAAAAAATTTCGTTGACTGATCCTTAAAACTGAAAACCCCAAACGAGAAAAATAAAGATTCTTATTCCCTTAAAAAAATAAGGTTAAATTTTAAGGATAGTCTTTGCTTACAAGTGGATATCCTCTGGTAAATATAAAATTCGCTTTCACTTTCCAGGCAAATCATTCAACCAAATTGGACAAATCTTACCCAAGGTTATGCTTCAGCGGAACCCCGTGATTGGCAAAACACAATGCCTTTGTCAAGTATTAACCTATCGCGATAACAATGAACTTGAACCGTGCCAAAGGTAGACAGATGAAATGGTATTGCCCAAACAGCCCTAACAACCTTACTAACGTATTTGGTAGCACCAATTTGTTCAACAGCCAAATATTCTATGTGCTAACCTCTTTGCTTATGACATTCTAAATGACATATAAAAGAACCAAAGGAATAACAAATGAGCACTCAACACTGCCGTGGACAAAGATCAGACTGGAGCTTGCAAAAGTTCGTTGACACAGTTAGCGGACTTTGTGACTATCCGTTTGCAGGGTCGTCTGGTTAACCGGAGTGATAAAGCTACAGCTGACTTCTCAAACGTCAGAGGGACTCCAAAAGACAAACGTCAAGCAGTATTAGTTAAACAACAACGCAAAAAAAAATAATTCCAAGACCCGTATGGCTTTCTCCTTTTCTGTTCTGTGGTTTTTTTTCGTTATCAAATATTATGTAGGCCCAGTTCTTGTTATGAAAACTTTGAGTCATCAAATGAATGTAATTATTTATCCGTACTCAACTTGTAACAGGCAAAATGATCCTAAATGCAAATAAGACGCATTTACCAAAGACGGATAACGACTAATTCTCTTTAATAAGTAATACTTCAAGGATAATTTCTGTAATAGTAAGCCAGCATTATGATCAATGCATTCGGCAGGTTGTCATTGTGAGCGCTTGGTAAACAAGGTTTGTGTAGTGGTAACAGGGTCTAAGTAATGATCGAATCGATCGGTATAATGGTTTGAAAATGACACCTTGGTCTGTGAAAGCCGCTTGCATGCGGCTAACTCTATCCTCACTAACTTGTCTGTTACTGCCGATCGTAGCTATGAAAACAATGTAGACAGAGTTAATAGCTCTCACATAATACACTTTGATGTCAGTTAGAGATGGTGCTCTTTTCTTTGCCCCCAAAGGCGAAGATACCAATAATTGAAATGCTTACATAGTTGAAGGTCTTCAAGCGCTTCACAGTTTCCCCGTTCATTACAAAAGAGCAGTCGACAAACAGAATATGTACACGTTATAGTGTTTCCCTTACCAGTGACTTGTTAAAACAATACCACGGCAGAGAGGCAAGCAAGGTAAAAGTGATTTGTTTAATGAACTCAACATTTTGCAACCTGCTGGATTCGATCACCCAGCTTAACAAGAGTCTCAAATCGTAGCCACTACAGGCCACATTCCTCCAACAATGCCCACGGAAATATTCCGGGTACCGTTTTGGAGAATGCGCACAATCCAAGTGTCCGCATACTTGAATGGTATGGGGGATTACAGCATGATGCGTCGGTGTACGATTTTAAAAGCTCTGGCGACTAGGCAGGGCGTTGGACAACACCGGTCGAATGATTTTCAAAGTGGGGGAGGGGCAGTTGTGAAACGAGGCATCAGCCATTAAAAGACCGACCCATTAAGCCCCGCCCCATTTTGTTTCGACCAAAAAGGGGGCATGCCCTCAGTCAAAGAAGACGGAAGTGAGTTCCTTGTCCCCGGTTCCATCGCCATTGGCGTTGGATGTCCTTGTGTGCATGATATGCTGAGGACTGTCTCCAGTCTATGGGTTGAATAGCTCAACAGATGAGCATATGCCAAAGGTAACAGGCCTTATGAAGCGTGCAGTTCCAAAGACCGAGAACATTATACGTCTGCTTTACAAAGCTTTATAGTTTCACTGAACCAAGTCCTGTTTTGGTTCAAACAGGTGTTGCTTTTGCCTCTGGGGATTGCTGGAGAGAGCAACGAAGCTTCACCATCCGAACCCTGGAGACTTTGGGAGCTGGCCGGCCGATCCACGAGGAGAAGATTGCTCAGGAAGTTAAGGCGGTCTTGGACGAGATTGCCGCCTTTGGAGGGAAGGCTTTTGACCCTAAGTATCCAATGATGATCTGCGTCTCTAACATCATTTCATCGCTGCTGTTTAGCATCCGGCATGAGTACGATGACAAGGAGTATAAGGACTTCCTTGACATGATAGCTGAGATCACCCACCTCATGGGCACATCTGGAGCTATCAACAGCGCTCCTCTCATCAAACATCTTCCCCTGGCCTCCAAGAATAAGCTAGCCAAGTTTGGGACGACGGAGCTGCGGTACATGATCGGTATCGTCAAGGAGCACCGTAAGAACTTGGACCCGGAGAATCCTAAGGATTTCACGGATGCTTACCTGAGTGAGGTTCTGGCCCGGAAGGAGAGCGGGAACACCAAGTCGCAGATCAGTTATGAGAATCTCCCACATACCTTGATCCACCTGTACTCAGCGGGCACGGAGAATGTCTCCACCACGCTCCGATGGGCTCTGTTGTATATGATCGCGTACCCAGAGATCCAGGCTCGTGTACAGGCCGAGCTGGACCGCGTGGTAGGCCCCGATCGGATGCCTCAGCTCTCCGATGAAGCGGGTCTACCATACACGCAAGCCACTCTCCTAGAGCTCCAGCGTGTTGCCACCGTGGCTCCGCTAGGAGCTGCCCACATGTCCACGGATGAATTCAGCCTCTATGGCTACACAATTCCAGCCAAGACCGCGGTTATCCCGAACACGTGGGCCATCCACTACAACCCCAAGGTATGGAAGGAGCCGGCAAAGTTCAACCCCGAGAGGTTCTTGAGCGAGTCTGGGTCAGTGATAGGAGGGGATGGCATCGTGTCGTTCAGTGCAGGCAAGTTTGGTTATACATACCTACCATTTGTGACTATTGTGTACTCACATTACGTACACAAAAGAGCCATCACAGACAGCCACTTAAATATGGTTGTGTTTTCATAAACGTTTTGAAGGATCCCAGCGTTAATGAAAGTCAGTGTGGTGCAGTAAGACGTGGTATCTTATGGGAAAAGAGTTCTGAATAACTGAGTCCATATTGAATGTTTTCTCACCATCTGCACAGGTAATCGCATTTGCATTGGTCGCCATCTTGCCCGGATGGAGATGTACCTTCTCTTCAGCCACCTTTTGCATCGATTCTCCTTCCGGAAGGCCGACATCTCACCTCCACTCTGCTTCCGGGGTCAAGGGAGCTTTGCGCGCGTTCCTGACCATTTTCTCTTGCAAGCCACTGAACGCCACCATGAAGTCAGAGCATAGATCAAGAATTAAATGCATGAGATATCGATATCAGTGCAAAATAAATGGATCGTGCATAGTTTGTCCGCAGATCATAGAACATCTTGAGTCCTTGATACCACAAAAATGATTTTACAATCATTTGAAGGGCAGACAGTTGATGCTATATGCATTCAGATAATGCTATGTAGGGCCTATATTGATGAACTTTTTTGGAATTGGGTTGCTGAATAGCCACTGGAAAAGAAATTTCTAAGTGAATTTTTGCATGGACAATAATAAATTTTAATCTTGAATCTTTGAATCTTGATCAGTGATGCATGTTTGGCAATGCTGTATTTGCAGTGTTTAGTTTCTCTTTCAATATCAGTCATAATAGCCTGGCGCGTTTACACTGCGACTTGTTAATGAAAGCATATGCACTAAGGACGAAAGATACAGGTAATATAAATTTCTGTGCCAATGGAAGTATTTTATAATGAAGGAATATAGACCGTAGAAGTAGTGAATACAATTTGTTAGCTTGTACACGCGTGTATGATTGGGGCTAAGGACTACGTGTAAAGCAACTATCAAGATGTCACAACGAATTATATCGTGGCTGTTTATGATTCAGTTGGCGTAAATCAATTGCATTTTAATATAATGGCATACAAAATATTGAGTATACAATGTATACAAAACAAATATTTCCTGCTAAATCACGTGGTGTAGTAAAACTATAGCCTCCGTTGAGATATAAAGCAGTCAGTATTTGTTATACTGCACCTTTCCCAAAGATTCTGCTTAATTTAAGCTGTGACTGATTGATTTGATTTAAATACGCTCGGGTGCATCTGTTTTAATGAAAACTTTGTTGAAATTTAACCAGCATTTTTCCAAACTATACCTCTTCAGGAAATGTTTGAACCTAGCTTTGCACGCCGCTTTGGAACGCGCACCGTGCACGCCTGTAGGCAATATGTATTTCTACAACCTGTTTACGCGATCATAGTAGGTGGCAAGACTGTACCCATGGGTACAGTCTTGTCACCTACTATGTCTAGTTGCGCAAACTCAGTGGAGGAACGAGCAGGCGGCCCATGGAGTCGAGATTGGTATTTGCACACAAACCCAGCGATTGCTAGCATGGTTATACGCAGTTACAGAAAACAACAAAAATCGAAGGGAAAGGTTCTCAGGAAGAAGTTGGTCTGTCTTCACTGGAAATTCAAGATTATGATCGCTGGGAAAATTGCCTTTTAATTTTACATCAGCCACTTCAATCCTCCCTTCCCCCAATTACCACAAAATAATATTCAAATTCGGGATCAGTTCTGCATGTAGCCGCTGCCTCTTTGCAAAATGGGACCAGAAGTTGGAGGTTTTCGTGACCGAAATATCGAAGGTTAGAAGCCATAGGTCCAAAGCATTTGATTGAATGAAGAAGCTCTACAATCCGGTCCTGACTTTGGCATTTCTTATTGCAAACAACCCGAGGGATCATAAATTATGTTGCGTAGTAATCAATCAACTTAGGAGTGCGCATCCATAATTCTTTTGGCAATGAAAAAAGTGAATGTCTTCCATTCAAGATACAGAATCTAAGACCGAGGTAGTATAAAAAGAGATGAGCATGGTTTGAATGGCTTAGATTAACTGCATTATTCCATTGATTTCGAATCTTGCAAAGAGTCGATTGTATGTCCTCAGCTTAAAGCAATGAATTGTTTGGCAAGAAATGCCTGTTTAAACCAAAATAGTCATTGTATGAGCTCTGTCTTGTGGATTCTTTTTCTATGATAAAATGAAAGTGCGTCTTTTAATAAGGACGATTTTTTATGTCTATGTCTTTCGATTTTCGAAATTTAAATGTCATATTTCTGCGTAATAGTCAATCAAAAGTGGCACAATTTCCTATAATAATTTGAATGCAACCAATAGTTGTCAAGTGCATTCGAAAAAGAGGGATGGTTCACATTAGAATTAATTCTTTACATGCCTGCCTGTTCAGCTTCACACAGTTGCTTTTATCTAGAGCGTTATATATCAATTACTGTACCTTCATTTTAGGCACAGCTGAGTGCCTATACACAGGGCAAAATTAAATTTTGGACGAGGCATAAAAACACATCCTAATAACTTTAATCTCCTCGGTTTTTGTGACACACACTGGAAACTAAAATTTTTCAAAAGCATGGTTCTGTACCGCATAAACATCCGTTCGTTATTTTATTGTGTGTATGTCTGTAAAACACAAAACCCCTGAAGTTTGAGGTTGGAAATCAAACTATAGAGGACTGAAAAAGGAGTGGTACGCTCGGTCGATTTTGCCTTGCACATTACATAATGTTACGTCATACATGTAAGCAACTTTGCCAACCAGTGGTAGTAATGCGTATGCACCTGTCTTATTTGCATATTTCATAGGAAAGGTTCATCACTTGTCCTAAGTTATAACCAGGGAAAGTCAATCAGTCATCGACGACTTGATCATTGTTCAAATTTGCCAAACGTCGTCTGAAAAGCTATGACAACGATTATGCAAAGTGTCTGGCAAAAATGCAAAGCAGAATTATTTTCTGAGTCTGAAACGTACCATCTGGTAACGTTGTCTCGAGTGTGCCATGGCATCGCAATATGGAATACAATTCGCGACATTACAACGTAGCCCATGCACGCAAAGCGAATAATTAGTATTAAAATACCTCAGACAGTTTGGCTATTTAACAACATGCAATTTAATCGTGTATTAACATTTTGATTATGCGCGTCGAGCAGTGGTATAAATGCCCGCTGCGTAAAGCCTGGTTTCCATGTCGACGTACGAAACGCAGAGAGCAACCCAATCAAGGCACAATTTTTTTCACAGTGCAAGGTTATAAAGGAATTTTCTTAACGCTCAATTTTCCTATTGTTTTTTTTTGGGGGGGGGGAAGTGCAAAAAGAACGATTTTAAGATGCGCCCCAACTAATACAAATTTAATTTTCTAACAAACTTGTTGCTAGGTATGTCAGTGGAAGAGATAATAGTTTATAGAACGTATTGATTTTGAAGAACTTCTCGAATGTTTGGGCGGGATTTTTAAAATTTTTTCTAGAGTGCACCACGTTAGAGAAAACTCAACTGAATTCTCCCCCAATTTTCAGACGCCACCGTTTTTGAATTTCGAAGGAAATTTTATGACACTGAAAGTGAACTTTTTTCAAGATGCATTTCAAGATGAAAGTGAACTTGTTCACAATTAAGGTTCAACGGCGTCAGCATGTACATGTATTATAAAGGTTTTAGTAATAATGATGACCAAATGAATTTCAACTTTTTTTAATAATAGGGTTGATAACTCTCTCTGAGGAAAGTCAGGTGAATAGTCGAAGTGCATCACTTAGCATGCACCGGGACTCCATCATATTGTTGTGTACAAGAGTACGTATTTGGTCTTCAAAATGAAACTCTACGTACCACCATGGGGGACCACGCAGCTGCCGTCCAGAGTCCGTGCCTCCAGTTTGCCAACAAATCCCTGAACGGATCATGCATTTCATGATCCACTTTTCACATGCAGCTATGTGACTTCCTAAGAGGTCAAACCTGCTCAAGCTGGAAGTGGATGTGCTCTGCAGCGTTCCTGGTTGTTGTGATAAACGCTCAATCTCGGTTGTGAAACTATCCTTGCTTGTGCCAGGTCTCGCGTAATAAGACTGTCCAAGGAACCGATGTCCAAAATGCAAACCAATGATACGAAATTCGCGCCATAGGCGCGCTATGAAACCAATGCCAGGTGCTTCGGGTTAGGGAGCAGTTAAAATTTGCATAAATGCCATTCGCGAGAGGGTGCATCACACAAAGATGAAGTTTTGCCCAATGGGAATATTGGATGTACGGGATTTATGAATCTGATGGACGTTTTTCGCCTCGGTTAAAATGCCGTTTCACGATCATTAAACAAATTTACCTTCGTATAGCTGCACTATAATTGTGAAATTATAAGTTAAACATTAACTTGAAATATCAAGTACACAGAACCGACCATGGTTCCTGCAAGAAATAATAGACAAATACACGTCAATGCGACTCTAAAACTAAAGCGCAACCACCAACAATCAGACAAACATGATAGCTTGCATTAGAAATCATTTGTTTTCCTAAATCGCTGCAATAAAAAAGTTAAACTGTTTAGATTGTTAAAATGTTTAGATCTGTGTACATGAACAACAAATTAAGCTAAGAAACGCAAAGCTAAGGCACAGTTTATAAAATATTTTGATAAACGGGATTGGTGGTATCTTACGTCTACTGTGGATGTCCTGGGTATAAGTAAGGTAATAGCTGAGGCACAGTTTATCTCCGATTCTCGGACATAAAACATAAAATATTAACTTGAAGCACACCAAGTTGCATAAAATATATGCAGCACTTCACTTAATTATCCTCTGAGCACCAAACGGGTGATGCCTTCTATGGTTTTCCTTGTCTAGATCACGTATAAAGGCTTCTATAAAGAAATACCTTTTAGAGTGATAACAAAGCAATTTTGTACCACATTCAATTTGGCAAAACGGACGAAATCAAGACACAGCAATTAGTTAAAACAATGAGCAAAAACAAAAGCGTTAATGCTACAAATTGGTTCAGACTGTTTCTGCAGCTGGCGGAGACGGCAATGGCTACGATACAGTAAACCCTATATTATACAGTTAACATTATGGAAAGATTAGCAAAAATTTTAAGGCACATGGAGTCGGATGTTCATTAACATCAAGGTGTTGTAAACATTCAAAAGGCACTTCTGAGTCATCACTTGCATGTCGAAGTTACGGCTGCATATTAATCCAGACTCTAAAGGGTGTGTAAAACTCTAAAAATCGGAGGATTTAACTGTTACGGCTAGTTAATATAAGGAATTTTGAGGTACATTTTGGTAACAATGTAATGTGCTATAGTGTAAAGGCACTCATTTGAAAATCTACACAGGTACTTTGTAACTCTATCTACTTCTATTGCTGCATATCCTTAATATACAATTATGTTCTATAAAATGTGTGAAAATTCATAATTAAAGAATTTTGTTTTGGATCTTGCAAAGCGGATCTTGCAAAGCGCTTCAAATGAAATGTAAAACTACAAATTGAAGGCGGGTATTATCGTGACCAAGAGCTGTAAACAATGACGGTTTAAAGCTGATCATGTCTGGTGGATTCCTACAGCAAAGTTACAGCTGGGTAACTTCAAGCTCTTCCAGATAGTCTGGTACCATTCCAATTCCAAAGTCCATCAGGGGAGTGCTATCTGATGAAGCTGAGGAACTACTCCGGTCAGAACCCTGATCAGGTAGATCAAAGTGGACTGATTTGGGGGTTGCTTGTGTCACATGACCTTGGTTGCCCTCTCTTTCCTCTGGGGGAGGGGGAAATGTGTCAGAGCTTTGTCCTTCTGAAGGAGAATCTTCGTCTTCTTTTGTGGCTACTTCTGGTTGCTGGTCATCTGGCTTGTCATCTGGCATTTCATCCGGCTCATCATCCGGCTTATCATCCGGCTCATCATCCGGCTTATCATTCGGCTTATCATCTGGCTTATCATCTGTCTTGTCATCTGGCTTATCATCTGTCTTGTCATCTGGCTTTTCATCTGGCTTATCATCTGGCTTATCATCTGGCTTATCATCTGGCTTGTCATCCAGCTTGTCATCTGGCTTGTCATCCAGTTTGTCATCTGGCTCGTCATCCAGCTTGTCATCTGGCTTGTCATCCAGCTTGTCATCTGGCTTGTCATCCAGTTTGTCATCTTGCTTGTCATCTGTTTCTTCATTTATCTTGCCCTCTACTGTGCCATCTGACACTTCATCTGAGTTGCCATCTGACTCATCGCTTGACACATCATCTGGCTTGTCCTCTCGATTGTCCTCTGGCTCATCATCTTGCTTGTGATCTGATATGACTTCTAGCTTGTCATTGTCCTGGTCATCTGGCTTGTCACTGGCATGACCCTGCTGCTCATTCACAACCTCAATGCTAGCAGGTACAAGATTAGGAAATTGTTCCTCGTTGTATTCCTTTGTGTGAATATGGGCAAAGTTGGGTACTCCTAGATCCTCGTCCTCCTCATACTCCAAGAAGTCAAGCACAAGCTCCTGTCAAACAAGATCCGACCAGATTCAAAATTTAAAAACGTTAAAAAAAGTGACTCAACCAGTTCAATCGCCTTTATAAAGAGTTTACTCAAGACATAATCACTGGAACAAAGTAACAGATGATTATTAGTAAGATAGTCTGACTTGATTCATTGTCACAGAGTGGCAAATGAGACTGCCCTGCATGAGAAAGCATAGCCAGTGAGGCCAAAACTCTCCAGCGTTTTCCAGATCTAAAGAGACACTATCCTTACCTGTGATTCATAATACTCCGGTCCTTTCTGCAATGGTGAGATTTGGGCCGCAACAACAGCTACAAATTAAAAAGTAACAAGAATATTCATCAGTGAGTTGAGAAATGTTTGAACGAACACACAATTTTGAATACAGAGGTACCGATAAAAGTCATGCAACCAGGAATCACTCCCCAGTTTTCATGTAACCATGGATTCAGCTTTTGAGGTTGCTATTAAAATCTTTCAAAGACATCTTCCAATCTTCAAAAACATTACACTGACGTGAAAATCAATCACCTGTTCCAGAGCAGCTTGTAGAAGACAACTGACAGAGTTTCCTAAGCCTTCCCCCATAACTTCAAATCTACACTCCCAATGATAACGGAAACAAGATGCAGTAAATACTTACGGACTTCTATATATCTCGGTAATTCTTCATCTGCTCCGACGGCAGTTTCTACGAGACAGACTTGAGCTTCTTCCTCAATTTCACTTGCATGCCTGCAATGACACAGAAAGAACAAGGTGACTTTTGACTGCTAAGCCAATTATTGCTTCAATATCTGACGTTCAGTCAGATAATGAATTAATATTTCAGGCAGGTGATTCCATAAAGACACCTTACTATACGTACGTCTTTTGGCCAATTTCCTATCAGCATCCAAAAACACTCTGTGCACATTAGGTCTATGGAGTCAAGTTACACTACAAACGCAAAAATGGAAAAAGCCTGTAACATGTTTCATGTGGTGAGAAAACAGGTTTAAATATGTACATTCATCTGACCCAAGAATCCAAGTAGAAGCTATCAAACTTGCATGAATCATACATAGGGTGACAATGTTACAATGTAGCTGTGAATTGAAGAAATGGCAGCCAGCAATCCCTGTAACACCAGGCTACAGTTTTCCTCTTCGAGACATATGAGGATATGGTGTATTTTTGAGACAAATCATGAAGTACGGCTCAATCAAAATTGACAATGTGTGAGGTAATTTTTCTATTGTTGAACCTCACACACTGTGTAGGCTTGCCCCCATGCTGGTAGAACAAGAAGCTTCACCAACACCTGATCACCTTAGTCAGTGCAAATGGTGTGTTATTTTAGAGTGACATCATTGCTATACAGGAGTCCATGGTTTACTGAAGAACCTAATTACCCTACACTAATACGGTTTAATTGACAAATAAAATTACACTAATCCCTAAACTCATCCACTGTTGTAGTTGAGACCAGCCACAAGTGACAGAGTAGACAAAGACATAAAGAATGCTTATGTTGCAGTTCATTTGGATAGCTTGTGACTTGAATTCAGAATGGAGGTCATGTGTTGGTCTTTTAACGGTCTTAAGAGGTCTCAACTGCAACAATGAACACATAAGAGTTCTCTACAGATTAAAAGAGGTGGGACTTACGCTACAGATGCCTCCTCAATTGATTCGTCATCTTGGAATCCTTGGTTCTCAAACCCAAGCTGATCTTTCTCCAACATTAACATGTCCAACTTGCGAGAAATCTGCCGACCACCTTGAAGTTTGACACTAATGTAAAAGGCAAAAATTTAAGAGTATTTCAATAATTATAACTTTAGGAGTGGCCAGTTTTTAAATGAGATGACAGACCAAGGTATTTAAGCCACAGACAGCTAGGTTGTTACTTTGTCTCCTTTAATAACTAGCATGCATTACAACTTTGGTTTGATCCTTCCATGGTCAGAATTTAAGTCACAGGTCCTTGCCAACATGGAGAACCACACAAAATGCATTAGGTTGACGCTACGGTTCTTTCTTGAACTTCCACCTCAGCGGCCTGGGTTCAAATCCTACCTAGCCGACCATAGCCTCTGGTTTTTAGACATTTCTTTAGGTAATTTCTACAGCATTTTACTGGGGATTTATCTTTCCAGTGATGAAGCTAAATATTTCTTCAAAGCTTTCACAGGCTTCTTTTGGCCGGTGATTCCCTGTTACTGGAACACTTAAAAAAATTACTAGTTTAATTACTAGAAGTTCATGAACACCTGTAATTAACTTACTCTTTCCACATGTAGAGAACAGCAACAATCATCAGAATGGAAGCAACACCAATCAAACCTGCTAGTACAAGCAAAGCTATCCCAAGAATCATGGATACATCATACATGTGCTTAGCAACGGCTGGAGGTTGAACAGGTTGAATGATGATTTCCCAACCACAGTTAGAAATGGCAGAGCTAGAAGAGTCCCATTTCCTGTTTGTAAAAATGAATAGAAATATGAAACTAAGCCAGTCTAAGATGGTACAGATGATAAAAGTCGTGATGGAATATGCAGAAGTTGACTCCAAAGAGGAGTTGATCAGCTGTGTGAGCGACCATGACAGGTGGTATATTAAACATCATGCACATCTCAAGCCACACCTGTTTTAAGTAGAACTGACTGACCGACTGACCGTCTGAATGACTGACTGGGGAAGTAACTGTGGTAATACAAACTTTCAACTACTTTACCCATTGGAAAACTTTTAGATAATCAAAAGGATTTCTAAATCAAAGTTTTGAATAAGCCCCAGACATTGCTGAACTGAAGTACCATCCATTCCTGAGGTACTCAATATCTAAGCCAGTCATAGAGTATCAGTTAAGGTAATATCTAAGGCGTCATTATATTAATTCCAACGATACTCCATTAAAGTTTCTTGATTTGATCTGGGATCAGACTTACGTTTTGATGTCCCAGTATTTGATAAATGAGCCGCCATCTTTACTCACATCAATTGCGTACACCCAGAGGTCAGTTCTGTGTCAACAAAAGCAACAGGTCAAGGTTCATAGGTCAATACTTACAAAGGTGCAGATCTGGGCAATATGTTAAAGGTGTAAAAGTTTGGAAGGAGACCAATGACACAGAATCTGCAGTTAAGGAAATCCTATGAGGAATAAAGAATTATCCAAGTAAAATTGAAAAACACAATTGAAGTTCTTATAAATTTGTTTACAATTTTTTTTTAAATTTAATAATTTAATACAGCTGGGTGGCAAGCATTCAATTCAACTCAACATTGGTATTTATTTTAAAACTTGGCAATAAAAAGTCCAAGGACTAACAACTATGCAGTTACATTACAATCACTAAATACAAGTTGTACGGAAAGTAAAAACATGGGCAGATCTTGGACTTCTGCACTGCAATTCATTTGAAAACTTAATGTGAATAATCATGTGGATACAATACCTCTTGTCGTCGATGGTGGACACTCCATTAACGTCAGTTACAAGGTGAGCTTCAAGGCGTTCTGATACCAGGGTGATACCGAGGCTCTTGGAAAGACAACTGATATCAAAGCAGATGAGAAAGCAATTTAACAGGTGTAGATCTGATAGAGGGTGCTTTGCAGTCAACTCAGTACAGGCATGCAAAACCTCAGGTCATAGAACAACTTAAGTCATGACAGAATCATTGTGGTAGTTACTCTTTCAAAAAGATACAACTTGATCCGTTATAAGTTTGCTTTGTTATTCCATGTGAGGTTTCATACAGCTATTTCAATGGACAGTAGACGGGAATTTAAAACATTGAAGCAATTCTGAAGCCTTCAATAAGTGATTTTAACATAATGATTCAGAATTTCAATAATTTTAATAATTTCTAATTTCCTCAAGATGATATTGCCCAGTTTTGATTATCAAACACTCCTCAAGGTGATCTAATATCATTTTCTTTCCTACACAGGCTACAACTGCCAAGAGGAAACCACAGGGAATGTCTTTCTCAGAGAGTAAACTCACTCAAGATATGTGGACTGCTCTGTTTCTACCTCCGTTGGTGTCTTGTTGATCACTAAGACAGCATGCTCGAAAATGTACAACACCTTGATCTAGAAATCAAGTGGGATTTGTTAGTCAGTCATTTCAGTGAAGAAGTTGCGAAACTCAGCAGTGAGTCACAAAATAAAGCAAAAGTATGAGTCACTGAAACTCACAAGCAGGAAGGGTAAAGATTAAAATACAAATTACGTATTTTACCTTTGACTTCATATATGTGTATTGAGGCATTGCTATTGAAAATGCACACCCACCTTTGCCTGGACTTCGGCCGATGCTTTGCTTGGATCATCTGTAAGGGTATCGGTGACTTTGAAGGTGACATTGTAAGATGCTTGCTCTTTGGCTGGGTCAACACTGGCATCATCTAAGTAGTTGGAGACAATGTCACGGACTTGCAAGATTCCATTGGACTGGTCAAAGGAGAATGCAGGGAGTGTTTTGTCTTCGGTCTCTAAGGTGTACGCCAAATCTGAAGTGGCATCTTCATCTGTTGCCTAGGAAACAGACACAAAGAAATTGGTATGAGATATCTCTTTCAGATAATGCATAAGGGTTGTGTCTTGATGGAGTAATTGGATAACAGAAAACAATCCTCTGGAACTGAGACCTGAAGAGCTACCTCAAAAGCTGGCACAAAGATGCAAGGTGGTTTGAGAGCTGACTCTAAAAATGCAGAACTACGTCTAGAACTGATGTCAGAGCCACAAGTTGGCCCAACAGTTGCACGGTTACAGAGCTGGCTGTACACTGAGCTA